AACAAAATGTAAATACTAAGCTGTCCGTTTTAATTTTGGTCTACACTTTAAGAAAATGCAAATAATCATATTGACAAAATTCATACATATAAGAAATGTTTAGATGCATAATTAAATTGGATACTTAAAATAAGTCATAAATGTCTCTCCGGGACAATATTTGTCTTTAGCAACAAGATTTGTCTCATATAAAAAATTGTAAGCTCGACGCTTGAGATTCACTTCTCAAACAGAAACTCGTATTCCAGGGAAATGTAAGAAGATGGCTACACAGTTGTCCTTAACATTATAATAGATTATATGCAAATTTCAAAAAATAATTTAATGAGTAGTGTCTACAGGCAAACCGATCCTTATACAAATAATTAATTAGGGGTGTCAGCAAAATTGTTTCCTAAGAGATCACTAGATGCTGCCTACTCTAATATAAGTTGCTTATGAATCTCGATGCCAAGAGACAAACACTCACAATTCATTTATAAAATATGCATTCTTAACGTTAGATAAATCAATCCACTATGAAGATATGAGATTACAAAACTCTCTTAAAACTCGTAAATATAAATGAAATTTGAGTATTTTAATAGTGTGATTCCAAGCTTAAAACAGGGGGAACATCTATAAAATTGACACATAGCTTGAGGTGTATATCTAGCCAGAAAATATTCAAATTAAAAAGTCAAAATTTCAACTCTTTCTATAATTAATACTTGACAAGAAAATTTATTAAAGGTCCACCTAATGGACAGGCCTTTTGAGACTAAATGTGCTCTGTTTCTCTCACCATATGCTTTATATCTTTCGTATCAAGCAACTCCATTTAACATAGTCATAAAATATAACATATGGTCCCAATATGAATATTTTTCTACATATATACATAACTTAATTTCTTCTCCTTATGTTAAATTAATTTAATAAGTTTACTTTCATTTGTGTGGCTATGATGGAAGAGATGGTTCTTATCTGATAAAGTTTTTAAAATGAAAATCTCGCTAGATAGGATTGCTAAACGATTTATTAGTGTCAATAAACAATAAGTAACAAAAATTTAGTCAACATTTTTGTATTGCAAAATTGAAAAGTTTTGTATTATAGAATTTATCAGTGTCGTAAAACAGAATTCAAGATTAAAAAAAATAAAAAAATGTAAACATCCACACAGTAAAAATTTTACATGATGAAAGCATATAACAGTGCAAGAATTTCACTATTGTCCAATGTAAAAAAGTTGTCAAAAAAGAGAATAACAACATCGCAAACATAATACATTAAAACCACATTCGGGTAGCCGATTGGTCAAATAAAGACTTTTAAGTGTATAACTCAAAAGACCTTGAGTTTGATTTTCCTCGGTTGCTAAATAAGGATAACTATTCGAGGTTTATTTTATTATTAACTTTAGGACCTGAGAGGTTTAGTTGAGGTGTAAATTGACTCAAACACCCTCGCTCACCCAAAAAAAAAAAAAAAAACCATAATACAATAATCCATGTTGTGTAACAAAACCAAACTCGCGTTAGTGAAAACTTTTCTAATGAAGTTTCTTGTGTCAAGATATGGCTCGTCTATAGACAACATTTATTTATTTATTATTATTATTATTATTATTATTTTTTTTTTTTTGGTGGTGTAAGATGACATTAAATAATCTAATTATAAAATATATTCACAAATGGGCTACATCATAATACTAAAATTTTAACCTTGACGCAAATAGTGTATTAAACCTTGTGAAATTTTATACTTTTAAAAGAAATATCCACACTTTAAAATTTTCACACGATAAAAAGCAAATAAAATGAAAATCATATAATAATCTAACAACATAATTTATGTATAGCAAATGGGGTAAATGATTTATAGGAGAGAATCTTACCTAAATAAGTTGGTATATAAAATCTTTATAGTTGAAATTTTGAAATAATTAAATTATAATATATAGTACGATACATTAATCAATAATGTAGTGATGTACAACCAAGAGAAGTAAGAAGCACGATGATGAAGCATCTAATTATTAAGGGCAACAAGAAGAAGTTTATAAAAAAAATATTAATGAATTTTGTTAAAGTTAAAAATCATCGTTTTCGATCTTCAATACGGATATTCTGCCTTTTTTGTCCCCCACTTCGCACACTCCCCCAACTTAGATTAATAATCAATTCATCCAAGGAAAACATAAAGAAGGTTCTTGATTATTAGAAATAGATGAAGCATATATAAATTTAAGAAATAAGCATATGATTTTGATGCCCTTTATGTGGATATTCATTGAAGAGTGTATATATATTTATAAAGAGAGCAAATGTATGGTGCGATGTGGTAATAAGATAGTATATAACAATATATGTATGTCACAAAGCTATTTAGATATTGTTGAGGTGAAAATCAACAACAATTGGAGGTTCGTGATTGATAATACTAGAACCATGTAAGATGTATGCATGATTTTGATGGATTAGCGATGAGGCAATGCGACAATGAATATGCAGTAATAATCAAAAAATAACAAAGAATAAGAAAATCTGTTTAAAGTGTTCATGGCTAATGGTTTAAGAAAATAAGGTTCTGTCTATATTAATGGTTATAGTTTTTAACCTGTGACAAGTGTAATCTTTTGAAGAGTCAAAATGTCNTTAATAATCAATTCATCCAAGGAAAACATAAAGAAGGTTCTTGATTATTAGAAATAGATGAAGCATATATCAATTTAAGAAATTTAAGAAATAAGCATATGATATTCATTGAAGAGTGTATATATATTTATAAAGAGAGCAAATGTATGGTGCGATGTGGTAATAAGATAGTATATAACAATATATGTATGTCACAAAGCTATTTAGATATTGTTGAGGTGAAAATCAACAACAATTGGAGGTTCGTGATTGATAATACTAGAACCATGTAAGATGTATGCATGATTTTGATGGATTAGCGATGAGGCAATGCGACAATGAATATGCAGTAATAATCAAAAAATAACAAAGAATAAGAAAATCTGTTTAAAGTGTTCATGGCTAATGGTTTAAGAAAATAAGGTTCTGTCTATATTAATGGTTATAGTTTTTAACCTGTGACAAGTGTAATCTTTTGAAGAGTCAAAATGTCTTCTGGAAAGACTGCCGATTTAAAGTTTACTATTAAAGACAAAAGTTATATGTATCCACCCTCTAACTCAAAGTTTTGTAGGGCTCCTTGAATTATTGCATGGAGACAAAAATTGCTATAAAATTCATGATTTTAAATAGCAAAATTTTAACCCAACATATAGTCTTTTGCTTCTTCATTATTAAAATAAAAATCTGGTAGGGAATGTATGGTTCACATTCCTAAATATATTACAAACAAACTTAAGGATAAGTGAACAATAGATTTATACTTTATTATCTTAATTAACTAAAACATTTATCAACTATAATGGTGATTATTATGACAATTAAAAAAAAAATTAGATCATTATGAGATTCAAAAATTTAATAATATGATATGATATCCCACTTTGTCACACACACATATATATAAATAAATAAATAGTAATAAATCACTCTAAAGACTTTGAATTTCCATGATTTTAGGATTTTAATTAATTTCTCACCACTAACAATTTGATTATATGTGATTCCAGTTACATAAAGTTGGAAAAACTTGGTAGCTGAGGCATTAATGGTGGACCTGTTGCTCATAATATCATCCGCTTCTTTCAGAACTGGGTGACTGAAACTAGACAAAAACAAATAAAAATAGCCCATGAATATAATTTTAATTCCTTTATGTGGGGCTTTCTCCTTTGCTTCTAATATAAGAATGTCAAATTCAATTATGAGGTCGGTCCATTGGATGCGTACTTATTATAAATTTTTCTTTTTTATATCATAAAGTTTTGTGATGAATTTTGATTGTAAATTTAATTGAATTAAATTAAGATTTTTGGTAGCTCCAGGAGAATCTCTTTAGTTGAAGCTATTTATTAAGTTTTTGGGTCCCTAATTCCACTGGCTTAAAAGAAAAATTATAAAGCCTATAAACTTGTATAAAAGTTTCTTTAGTTGACCCCACAAAAATAAATTAATTTTAATACGTGTTATATATAGATTAATGAGTTAATTTCATCTGCAATTTAGAGATGGTTAAAAAATTAATGTGTCTATTAATTATAATTAAATATAAATCAGTGGTTTTTTTGCCTTTTTTTTAAATAAGAAGGTCAAAGAGAAACACAATTAACTAATCTGTCTAATTAATAAATAAGTTATTTGAATCGATACAATAAACACTTCAATTGGAATCTTATATATATTAATTCAAAGCTTTAAGAAATCCCAAATGGGTCTTAGCTTAGTTGTGATCCCATTAATTATAAAAAAAAAAAAAAATATATATGTATTAAAAAATCAGTCGAAGTCTCTTGGAAAGTAGCATAAAAGTCAATAAGAGAAACCCTAATTTACATTAAAAAAAAATAAATTAAAATTTGCAATTAGAAATGAGTTGAAATTGGAGTCAAAATCGATAAAACAACAGCGTAGCTCAACAACTTTCAATTTTCCCCATACAAAACTATATATTAAATTGTAAATTTAGAAATATATGTTAAATAAATTAAACTCACAATTCAAAAAAATTAATAAAATATAATATATATAACTTGTCGTTACATGTGTGGTCCAAATTATATTGCTCCCACATGGGGTATTGCTCACTAATGCTCTCATTACTCACATGAAATACAGCAAGCAAACTAACAACTCAAACCCTAAATTAAGTAATAAAATCATAATTAAAATTTAGAAAAAAAGAAATCATTCAATTTAAATTAACAAAACAGGCCACCATTGCATCCTATTCATATATTAACATATTACAATATAAATTTCAGAACTGGGACTCCTTAATTTAAAAAAAAAAAAAAACTGAAATATAATTTATTTTTTCTCTTAATTTACAAACCCAGAATTCATCACCAGCCTCCGATGAGTTACAGTAGTAGTTGTAGTAGTAGTAGTAGTAACGATCCACGCTGAAATTCAATTCAATTCAGCGTGAGCGGCGGTGATGAATTAGATCATAAGATGTTCCCAGACCTCGGAAGATAACTATGTATTCTGAAACTGCACAAGTTCTTTTACAAGAAGTGTAAAGATTTACAAATCCAAACCTGTCACTTATACTTCTGTCACTTTCCCCCCTTCCAGAACAACTTGCTGCTTGTCAAGTCGTCGTCGTCGTCGTCTTTCGAACATTCAACCAATGCAGCTACGAAGGGATCCTTTCTGAAGCTGTGATCGCCATTGGAGTGAATTTCTTCTTCACTCCGATATCGGGGTCGAAATGCAACTTTTGAGTGTGAGTGGAGGATAGAGGGAGTTGTTTCAAGAAAGATCCTTCTTGTTGAGAAGGCTGTTATTGTTGTTGTTATTGTTATCAATTTCTTGGGAATCCCGGTAAGTGTTCCCAAGAAAATGGCACCTCCGAAAATCTAAGCGGGGGCCGGACTAAGAGGAGAATGTCGGAAAATACGGGACGATTCAAATGAAGATGAAGAGGATGAAGATGAAAACGAAGGCGTTCGTCGAGAGAAGGGGGGTTTTTCTTCATCGGATATATTGTCACAACTTTTGGCGACTATTTGAGCACGAGCGCTATGACTAGTCGATAATTCATAGCTTTAGACTTGAAGGAAGAAGAAGAAAAAGAGAAGAAAGGACTTGAATTTTTTTTTGTTTCTTGAATGTTTTCTATTTATACAAAAGAGATAAGAGGGAGGTGAAGTTAAAACTCATTAGTTTTGGGACGTTGAAAAAAAAAGATATGATAAAATAACAAAGGGACCCCATGGTATTGATGATGTAAAGTGGAAGGGAGAGATGAAATGGGAAATTAAAAAAGGGTAAAATGGGAAATTAAAAATGGTAGTGGTGAATGGTGATAATTGAAAAGGGCATGTTTGAAAGATGATGGACGCTATGGGGAGTTGTTGGGAACATCAGATTCACTGGAGTTGAGAGCTGAGCTGACTCAGCACTAGAGTAGAACTCGGTTCTGGATCAGAATAAGGATTGTTTACTGACAGATAGCTTATTTTTTGTCCCCAATTAAATTTGGATTCTGAATCTCTGATTACTACTTGCTTGTTGCTGCCGGTGCTGTTTATTTAGAGCATTAAGATGACTTCTCAATAAAATGTAAAATCAGATAATAGTAATTGATTGATCTACTATAACTTTAATTTACTTTCTGGCTGGTTGTGATGACTGAGTAATTTTTTGTTTTTTTTGGATAACTGGGATGTTCGAATTAACTTCGCGTGCACATCAACTAATCCTCGAAACTATTCACCTTACAAACAGAAGGTATTATTGTGATAGTGACCTAAGTTTAAACTCAAGAACTTAAGAAAAAAAACAAACATCTTAACCGTCAAGTCAACTCTTAGGTTTGAGTGGATAATTTTCAAAAGTTAAAATACGATTCAAATATATGAATTATATTTTACACATTTTGAGAGTAGTAGCAAAAACTATTTTGAAAGTATATTAATTAAACTTTATATCAAAATCTCGTTTCATTGGATAGTATTTCCTTATTATATGTGAAAATTGAGGATAATTATAGGACTGTTTTGGAGTTAAATCTTAAAAAATAAAATAATATAGTTGACTAGCAATGAGTTAAGACAAGGAAGCCAACACAAAGTAAATGTAAAATTGCTAGAAGAAGGCAAACTATGTGTACTTTATTTCCTTCTACTCACACATAAACTAAAATTATCTAATAAATTATAATTCTAATATTTAAAAATTTAATTAATCTCTTTAACAAAAAAAAAAAAAAAAAAAAAATTATACTTTACAAATACTTAATTGCAAATGGTAATTTTCTTATTTTATTTTTACAATATTCTGTGACATTATACTAATTATATTTGTAATTAAAGTAAGTTTATTATGATAAAATACTACCTTATTAATTCATTTAATGATTGTTGTGACACTTGAATCTTTTATATTGTTAATATGATATTTTTCATTTGACTTAATTCAATATGTGAGCTGGGTAATGATTCAATGTGCAAGAATAGTAAAAGCTCATCGATCGAGCTCGTCTAATTATAAGTAATAATAATCTTTGCACGTTTTTGTGCAGTGCAACTTTGACCACCATCGATTTTACCAAGTAAAAATCAATATTTTTTACACTGGATCCAAGTTCTATTTTTCTTTTTCTACGTCATTTTTGCATCACCATAACCGTGTCGCATTAGTTTAAAATAATTAATTATTTATAACAACTTCTTAATAAGCTATAATTATTTAATTTTCTGCTTTCTTATAGATCACAAATATCTTTGTGGTATTTTATATATTTTTTTTCTTTTAAGATCGTAAAACATACAAGAATTTTTTTCAAAGTCTTATTCCATGTTTGTTCATAACTTATGTTTTTTGGTACGTAAACTTAATTTTGCATTTAATTTAAGTTGTTAATTGTTTTCGAAATTTTCCATGTTAATTATAATATTAAATGACCAATCTCGGACCCAATTATTAATTAATTATTTGGGATTTATTCAAGAACAAGAAGTTGGACCATTGTCACATGAAACATTTAATTAATTAGTTTTTAGGCTTGGGACTTTGTTGGTTAGTAGTCAGTTAATAACTTTAATATATATTTTTTAGTGTTATTATTCGGTCAAAGCAATTGGTTTCTTTAAAGTTAATTATTTCGGCCGTGGAGGCCTTAATTTATCCACGTTACGAAGTTTAGTAAAGCCCACTCAATAGAGTTAACATTAAATATATTTTTTAAAGAAAATGTGCTATTGACTTTAGAATTTTTTTTTTTTTTAATATATACATAATTCTAAAAAATAAATAAAATCAGAAGGAAAACATAAAGGTTTTCTTTTTTAAGGCCATCTGCCATGTACTTTTTTTTCTACGATAATGTTCTTTTATATTCAACTTATTATATTACAGATTTGTATTTTATATTCAAACCTTTGCGAATGAAATTATTTTATTTTCATTATTTAAACTTGTTTTCTGTGAATACATTTGAAATATTATACCAAATGTATTATGAATTATTAGTTAAGTGATCTAATATAAATTATGCATACCATTACTAGTAAAGTGATTCACTCTAGCTAAAATTCTTTATGAATTTTTAATCACATTCAATAAACAATAATCACATAAATTAAAAATATATATATATTTGGTAATCCAATATTGATTTATAGTTTCCATTAATTGTCAAATGTCCACATAAAATTATGCTCTATATAGTACTTTCTTTCAATAGGTCAAATATCTAAAGAGAGAGAAAGAGAGTAAATTCAAATATGAAAGGTTTGAATCCACACTATGGGTTTGTATTGTATTATAATATAATTTATGCATCAAAGTATGTTATATTAATATGAGCGAAACATGCTTATTTATTTTTATTGATTGGTTATATTATAACATGATATATATATATAATTAATTTTTTTATAAGTATTATAATACAATCCCTCGATAAAAGTATGTTATATCAATACATATTTGCCTCTCATATTATTAAAAAAAAAGTGGCAAAGTTTAATACCAAATTTAACCTTCATAGTCTTCTAATTCCACTTTACAAAAATTCTCCCTTTATTTAATCAAGCTTGGCACGGGATTACTATACACACTGACACTTAACAGTAGTCTCATGATAAGAACAAAAGGATGGAGTTGCACGTGATCAATAATATGTGACGGCTTTGTTGTTTACTCGAATTAGGTTCTTAAAATCAATTAAATTGATTAATCTCTTACCAAAACTAACTATAATTAATATAAATAAGTGTGATACACAATAATTATATTTGTTGTTTAAATGATTCATAAGGTTTTAACCAATATTTACCAAGTTAAATGAGTATATCAACAAATTAATTTTTTAATAACTAAAACAATTAATTATATTTTCACCAATTAATTATAATTCGAACTGGATAACCCACAAAAGAAATAGAATGAAAGGACAATAAATTATTATTTATTTGATTTATTGATGAGATTCACATGCAAAGATATTTAAATTTGGAAGCTTCCTCTTTTGCTTTCAAATCAATTATTTTTGTAGGCTCGTGAGTAATTTCTGTTTTTTTACTATTATTGAAAAATACTTTTGTTTCTTGTATTTATTTTTCGCAAGGACCACAACTATGAAGAGGATGCATCATTGTTATTGTATTTATGTTTTCTAAATTCAGTGCATTCTTAAATTTGATAGCACTTTTGAAAGGGACAAATAATAATAATTTTATAACCTTTTTAAAATGTTAAATAATTATTATGTAATATCTAGAAGATGCATTCTAATCTTATGTCATTATTTAATTTCTTTAGCAAAAAAATATTTTAACATAAATATATTGGCTTTTTGCTAAATATTTTTTTTTTTATCAAAATTAACATATAGTTTTTTGAATTAAAGATTAACTAGTAGAACTTTATGCTTTTTTATATAAATTATTTATGTGAAATTTATAAACATTAATACATTAAATTTATTGGCATAACTAATTGTAATGTATTAATGATCATAAATTATTTAGGTAAAATGGGTAGATGGCGATTCAAGTGATTAAATTTCTAAATTGGCCCCCCTCCCTCCTCATTTAAGTGTCATAAGAAAAATACCAAATAATTATTTATACTTCTTAATTCTTATTATTCTTTTTTTCCAAATTACTCTCATACCTCTTTTCTTTCTTTTTCTTTCACTTCTTAAGTTATTTACAAAATATTAAACTCATTAGATCAATAATTGTATCACCTTTTTTCATTATTAAGAAAAAAAAAAGAAAAAGTGTCATTGTTGCGTTCGACAATGTATTCAACGATATTATCAGAATTCATAGAGTTATTGAGAGACAATTTTTTTTTATGGTGCCGACGTAATAATCGTTGAATTTGAAATTCAACCATAACATAAATGTTTGGCTAAAAGGCAATCTATTTTAACATGTCAATGAATCAATCATCGAAATTCTTCATTTAACACTTTGGCTAAGGTTTATTTAGAAGCTTCAACTTTGGCTTTTCCATCAATGTTTTTGTAGTCCCGTGATTACTTCCTATTTTATTTCATGCTTTTTCTTTAATGTGTTTTGTACTTATTCTCCACGATATATCATATATCCTTGACCATTTTTATATTAAATGTCTTCATCAGTTTCAAAATGGACAAGGACAAAAAGTTTTAATGCGAATATTTTTTCAAGAAAAATAATATAATCTTGTATTTGTTCTTCCGTCTCACAAGAATTGAGCTAATTAAAGGTCAATTATATTTAATCAAACAAGAAATTAAACAAATGAAAATTAGTCAAACCATAGCATATCTCAAAGAAAGGGCTAGTAATTCATTTGGGTAAAAGTTTTCAAATAAAATATTATTAGTTTTTAAAAATTGAGTGACCCTTATTTAAATTGAGAATTTAAAGGCTAACTTAACATCTAAAAACATTCCTATTCATTCAAAAATTGCCTTTTATTTTTAATAAATGCAGGTTTTTCCCCCTTTTCTCTCCAAAACTAAACATTAACAAATGCACAGTTGATGGCTGAAATTCATAATTACTACCTGAACTTAATATATATATATGTTTTTTTTTTTTAATATTTCACTACATAATATATGATGAGCAAACTAACTAGAAAATAATTTGTTAAAACTTCTTTGATTTAGGTTTTTTTCAGTCCTTTTATTCTCCATCGCTTCAAATGTAGCATATATTTATGACTCAATTTGTTAAAAAATCATATATGTTGATGTCTTTTTTTTTTTTTTTTTTTTTAAATTAGGATTAATGAACAAATTAAGGGTGTCTATTAAGCACTATTCATCCTTAAATTTCGCTTGCTTTCTTTTGGTTATCTTACAAACACACATTGATAAGTGCGGCAGTGGCCATAAAAATCATCTTATTTGGTTTTTGAATTTGATAGAGAAGAATACCTAATATTAATCAATTCATACTTTCCAAATGTAATGAAATGCAGGAACTTCGTTTAAGGTTCGTCATCATAAGACATTTCATCAGGAGATTCTGAATTCCCAATAATTTGAGGTTAAAAGATTTCAACCTTTGAAGAAAGTTTTCTTTTTCAAATCTTCCTCTTAGCCTTTTATCATAACCTAAAATATTCCTATTAAACGACAACATGTGTTAGGAGGCATATTGAGGTAAATTTTCTTTAGGTTGGGGTCCGTACAAGATAACCCAAATCTAGAATTAAAGAAGCCCATACACTCTCGCTTCTATCATTTTCGTTTGGGGGCTTGTTGATTCATTTCAATGAGTCCACTAAAGCCATCTCATCCAACTTAGCATTTAAACACCCATTAACTTGTAATTATGTAACTATCGACAGGTTGATGAAGTGTAATATTGACTTTAATTTGCATTTAAACAATAATGAACTTGTTCGTTTTACATTTAATCTCCGAATTAAACCATCTTACCATGGTTTGAATTACATGAGTTAGTGTGAATCTAAATCAATTCCCCTATTATTACCAATTACCCTCAGCAAGACCCACCTTATCCAATCTCCTTCAATTAATCAAAGTCGCCTTAATGCAAGGTAAGCCAGTAATCTATATCCCACGAACATCAAAAACAACACTCCAACACTCACCGCAGGGCTAATTTGCCCCACAATATCCTCTTCAACAAACTTGCAATTTGCATTTTCGATGCCCCCGTCGGCCCCGCCTATCGATCTATGGCGTAATGAGCAGCCCAATTGAGCTGAAATTTTCCTGCCGTCGCCATATTGAACATCGATCAGCAGCCTATAAGTGTAATACGTGGTCGAAATGTACTTTATCCACGCCATGCAAGAGGGCATTTTGTGAACGTAATACCCTCCTGTGAGAACAAACGCTAGCATTGTGACAGTGACAATGGTTGACGCCTGTTTCGCGTCCATGATAATCGCACCTAAAGCGAGGCCAAGCCCCTGAGAGACGAGCACATATCCGAGAAGAACCAAAAGAGTTAGCAGAAAAGCTCCGCATTCGGGTTTTAGTCCAGTCATCCAGTAGGTCACAATGAGGAAAACGACGGGGAGAATGAGGTCCATGGGCAAGTCACCGACGATTCGGGACATGAAGTACGAAGAAAGAGTGTACATACCGGACGCCCTTTCTTTCATAAAGATTGCGCGTTCTTGAGGGAAGGCGAAAACCGAGTTAAACGAAGGCAAAACTCCCCAGAATATCGAAATGAAGTAGAAGAGACCGAGGCGATCTTGAATGTTTCGGTAGTCAGAATGCCACCACATCAATCCTGCTAATAATGAAGCCGATATCACTTGGAAAACTCGTAGAGCGTCGAAAGATTCATGTTTACGTTCTTTCAAGCTTCTCTGGAGGAGAATGGTGAATTGATTCAGCCAATTCGAAATGCCAAACGTGTAACTATTATTCCAATGTTGATCTCTAGATGAAGAATGGCTGCTGCTAACAAAATTTGCTTCTTTAGATTGAGTATTTGCCGCTTCCATGCACAGAGCTTTCACCTTTGGAGCCAATACACTGTTGTAAGAATTAACGAGGGACAGCTTCACATTTGGCTTATCTCTTTCGCTTACTCCATCAATATGAGACACACCTGAAAATCAATTCAAAGATTACACAAGTTAATTCAAAGATTAAACTATAATTAATTAATCCTTTCTAATTATTTGATTAACATCAATTCAAATCTCATGTAAATAATGCAAACGTGGGGTCAATGAGGATAAGACATTAGGGTCTTTGTGAATATGACCTCTAAATTTTTAATGTCTGATAAAGCTTTAAAAATGTCTACTAAAACTAAAGGAAGGGAGGATTTTTCAATGGACTGTATATGATATAATTTAATTTAATTAACACTAGTGTTAAGGTCTAAAAAGAAGAAGCACGAGGAGGGGGAGAAATAAAATGGAAGACGCAACTAATAAGAAATTAATTAGCATATTAACAACTCAAAAGCATAGTTAAGATAGAGATTAAGGTAATTAAGAGAGCTTTATAGAACACGTATCAGAAAGATTTTTAGAATTATATTGAACACACACATATCCAAATCAAAAAAGAGAAAAGGCAATTAGATCGACGAGAAGGCATAGTTAGTGGAGTTGCTTTAATTTGGAGGAAAAGGTAAAGAGCAAAATAATAATACTGAAACATAATATCTAACCCTAATATGAATAAGTTATTGGTTTACAGGGAATAGTGGGGTGGGGTTTATTAAATTCAGTGTAGGTTAGATTAAAGAGGTTAAGCAAATCAGATTAAGAAATGGGTTAAGAGTGGATTAATTAGATTAGTGATGAAGTTAGTGACATCTTAGAAACCAATACTAATGAGTAGTAAAGAGAATAGAGATAAAGAAATTGATATCACAGCCGAAAAAAAAAAAAAAAAAAAGCTGACCGATGTTGGTGGCAAAGGTGGGGTCCACTAAAGCCTTTGGTGGAAGCTCTTCCACTATCTATTTTGGCCACCACTTACTTTATAATTTTTATTACTATTTCTTCTTTGAATTTTGAAAATTTTCAATAAACCCACGAACAATATGAAAAGAAGAAGAAGAACACTTTAATGACTTTGAATAGGGAAGAAGATAGATAAAATCAATGGCTCCCTACACATGTGCTCTTCTTCACATTTCATTTGAGGAAGAAAATTGACCAAAAGTGAAGGAAAAAGGGAGAAAGTAAAGAAAAAACTTCAAATTGGACTGACGATGATGTGGGACAATATGTAGACCAAAATGAAGAAAACAATTTGAAAAAATTACTCTTAATAAAATCGATCTTTAATTAGGCATGTGGCACAATCATATCTTTATATATATATTAGCCAGGCTATACAAAGAACATTATATAAACTATATATATGAATTAATATAAATAATATGAGGGAGGACAAGTGAGTAGTGACTCCAATTATCAAGAGACAAAGATGCGATGTGCCACCATCCAAATGCTCTTACTCTAAAATTATTATATATAACTAATTAAAAGATGCTTTCTCACGCTATCAATGTCGTCACCAGTCATTCAATACTTAATATCCATATATATATTAATTAGAATAATCATGGTGTCCAAGAATAGATTAAAGGAGTTAATTAAAAAAAATTAAAGAGAAATAGATTAATCTTTCCTTTGTTGATTTTAATAATCTTCATTAAAGTTTTGGCTTAAACCAGAGTACAAAGGTCCATCTAGTCAAAATGCACTTCATCTACAGACTAGAACAGTTGCATTTTGCATTATTTAAGTGTGGAATTTGATTAAATCAAATTCCACACTTAAATAATGCAAAATGCAACTGTGCTAGTCCTACCAAATTATATTCCTATTCAAAGAGTTTTCCACATCATTATAATTGTCGAATCAAATCAAGGTTGTCAAGCAATTTCATGCACAAAATTATTTGGTTTCTTCTTAGAGGGATGAAACATTATTTTATGTTTATATTATTAAATTATCTATTTGTCACTACCCACTTAGGTGGTAATTCTGAATCTAAACTAGATCCTAAATTCTTTAATTAAACCCTAATAATCTCTCAAAATTAAATTAAGTAAGCATGCATAGCATCCACAGAAAATGCAGAAAGGACTTCATGGTATAAATGTAAGGATGTTCAGTATTCATGAAAAAGATTTCCATGACTTTGTGAGTACATAATACAGATAAGTCAACTAAAATTGTGCAAACATTTAATTCAATTTTGTTCTGGTCGATTGATTATTATCATGATATATTGATACATCATACCAAAACTTTAATTGATGTGATCCCTATAGCCCATAATTAAGATCATATGTTATAAATTCCTGTAGAAAAGGATATGATAGAAAGGGTCCACTATCCATACTATATAGTATACATGATATCTTCAGAAATAATTTAATTTATTATAAGATCATATACTATTGGGATCCATACTTCATTCAATAAAACATTAAAAACCCGTAACACATAGGAAATTTGGTAATGCTTTTAACACAGAATATGGTTCTAAATCTACCTTAATATATAATAATAAATTACTCCCAGTTCCCAACACCCGAAGATCCAAAAATCTAGCTTTCCTTGTACACCTTTATTTAATTTAACAAACGGTTAATTTATTTTCGTATCCAAATTATTTAAAAACTCAATTAAATTCTTTTATTTTAAATAGATCTAGGTGTGGTCAAAAGCCGAAAAAATAAATAATAAAATAATTCGAGAAATTCTAAACAGAAAGACTTATGAGTCTCATAGTATAATGAAAAGGTCAAAACTAAGAAAACAAGACACGTGTACAAGAATAAACATAATAATTTTCCACTAAAACTAAAGCAGAACTCCACGATTCAAAAAACACATCAAACCCAGTACGTATCTTATCAAATACACATTTTATTCAAACATTAATATGATTTTTAATTGGTGAGTTAGCATCAAAAGAAGCTTATAATGGTAAGGAATTTCATTATTACAAAACTTTAGGTTAAAAAAGTTAAAATATGAAATACACATATAGTAATAATAATAGTAATGCAGCATGAGGAGGGCACAAACTTTATCATAAAAGTATGGCCCAGAAAATTTTAAAGTGTTCATAAGGTTATGGAGAACGACAACTTATTGTTTCAAAATAGTCAATCAGGTTTCGAAATTTTCATTTTATTCCCCAAAGCGATAAATTAAAACGAGAACGAAGAGAAAAGTAATCAAATTGTTTAAAGCTTACGTACCATTAGCGAGATCAAGGAGAAAATCAGCGGGATTCATGGGAAAAGACGGCGAGTATCCAACTGACTCAAAATATCCCATAGCTTCACTAGCTTTACCAAAATACAAACACCTCCCCTCGCTCAGCACCAGCACTGAGTTAAACATCTGAAAAAGTCGGCTCGACGGTTGATGCATGGAGGTTATTATCGTTTTTCCTCTCTGAGCCAGCGACCCCAACGTCGATACCAGCCTGTGCGCCGCCGTCGCGTCCAAACCCGACGTGGGCTCGTCGAGAATCAGCAGGCTTGGGTTTATTAACATCTCGTGAGCTATACTTACTCGCTTTCTTTCTCCGCCGGACACGCCCCGTATAAAACTGTTTCCAATTATCGTGTTTTGGCATTTCGTTAAGCCTAACTCGGTGATGACTGACTCAGCTATTGAAGTTTTTTCTTTCTTTGTCAGTGTTTTTGGCAGACGGAGGAGGGAGCAGAAGATTAGGGTTTCACGAACGGTGAGGTGGGGGTAAAGGATGTCGTCTTGGGTGACAAATCCGGTGCGTTTCGAGATGTGTTTGGTTGGTTTTTTGTTATTGGCGAGGATTGTTCCGGTGAAGCTGTGTCCTTGTAGTCTCCCTGCCAGTACATTCAGAAGCGTCGATTTTCCGCTTCCGGATGGACCAAGAATGGCCAGGATTTCGCCGGGGGAAACTATGCCTGTGACTCCGTTTAAAATTATTCTCTCTTGAATATTATCCGTCGATCTTTGATCAGACGGTGCGGGTCCATGGTTAATCATGCGTCTGATGCTGTTCCCTTTCGCTTTGTTCTCCATCTTTAACCGGTAAGAAACGTCAATGAACTGCATGAACCAAAAAAAATTATTGTCAAAATTAGTTCAATTCTATTTTTATGTAAACCCAGTACTTTTAAAAACTATCAAAAACATCCTCGAGTCAAGTCGTCTCCCTCTTGACTCGGTGATTGAAAGTTTGAAACACATTTATAGCTGTGAGAGAGACAGTCCTGAACTAAAGTAAAAAGTCTACCTGGAGAGTGATGGGGTAACAAGAAGACATTAAAGAAGGGAGCTGATCACGCGAATCTCGAGGACGCAGGGAGGGATGATCAGAGCCGTCGGTTGAATCTCCGGAAGGAGGTTGAACAGCAGCGAAACTAGGCATGTTATGGAGGGAAAGTGAAGGAAAATAATGAAGAGAAAATGAGGGAAAGGGAAAGAGAGTGAGAGAGAGATGGGGGGGAGAGTGTAACTTTTGATTGTGGGGAAATTAAATGAAACGAATGAAGAGAGACCAAAAGTAGAGAAGCGTAAAGGGGTATTTATTTAGGGTAAAATGGTGGGGAGTGGATGCCACGTCAAAGGAAAATGCCCACAGCAAAAAGAGCAACGTGGCCGTAAGGAGTGACAGTTGGCAACTTCTGAAGGAGGGTTCATGGAAAGTGCTTTGTTAAGGGCCGTTCACATTTCTCTATATCTTTTTTTCTCTTTCTATCTTTCTTAGGAAAAGGAAAGGAGGAGAAAGAAAAAGAGAGACAGACATAAAGTTTTCATATACACGTATAATTATACATGCATGAATGTGTGTATAGTGGGTAAAAAGAGGATTCCAAATTGCTTAATATATTTTTCAAACTTAAAATTATATTCACTTCTAGTTTATTTGTTTCAATTTTAAATATATCAGTATTTTTCATGAATATTTTTGCATATTAATCGATTTCACAAAGATTGAATAAAATATGTTTATTTTTTTACCTTTCAAATGTTTTTACATAATTTTTGTTTTATCCTTTTTTAAAATATTTTTCATTAATGATAGGTAATTTAAAGTCAGCATTTTCATTAATTAACCATAAGCTAATATATAATGTTACTTTTAGATTCGATAACTGGGACCCTAAAAAATTAATTTATTTAATCAAAGGGAATTATGGTAAAAGATCAATGGGAATTATTGTATAAGAAAACCCTCTCCCTCCTCCGTTTCCAGGTTCATCACCATCTTTTTAACCAAAATCTCTCTCTCTCTCTCTCTCTTTGTTTCTTACACTCTTTCACTGTCTTAATTACTCTATTCCGGTAAACTGAGTTGAGCGTCAAAGAGTTCACATCAGTAAAACCCTTAATCTGCTCTCACCAAGGAAAACTATCAGATAACCAAAAATATTTTGAATCTGTTTGGTCCAGAAAATGTTAGATATTTGTGCATCTTATAATACGAAATATTATAATTTATGTTACAAAAGAAGTATGTGTAGAAACATTAATTAGATAGTACACACGTAAACATTGTACAGAATTTGTCATCGAATTTTTAACAACTCAGAAAATACATGTATAACAAAGAAAGCACTTTGGAATGAGAAGCCGGTAGCAGAGTTAGAGGGCAATTACTACCACTTTTGGGATTTTCGATGAACAACAACAACAGCAACAGCCAGCAACTACAACTACAAGAAGATATTTAAGTAAAAGAGTTCTGTGTGTTGTGGGGGAGCTGGCCACAGCCATTATTGCAGTACTTGACCGATATCTTCAGTTCATTGAATACCAATTCCCTTTATGATCATTATCCATCCCCAACAAAAGAAATATGTATATATGTATATATATAATGTTTTCGTTATAATTTAAATTAAATAAGCATTGAGAATAGAGAGATATTTATTTAATAAGGAGTTCAGATTCAGATGAGAAAATCAGAAGACTGCAAGTTGATTTTACTACCACTTCTGCAACTGTAGACTGTAGTTATTGACGTTGGTAGGAGGTTCAGGCTGGCTAGCTGTTCATCATTAATCACTGTATATTAATGTAAAATCTTTATCATATCAAGATTTTATTCGTTNATTATCATTATCCATCCCCAACAAAAGAAATATGTATATATATATAATGTTTTCGTTATAATTTAAATTAAATAAGCATTGAGAATAGAGAGATGTTTATTTAATAAGGAGTTCAGATTCAGATGAGAAAATCAGAAGACTGCAAGTTAATTTAACTACCACTTCTGTAACTGTAGACTGTAGTTATTGACGTTGGTAGGAGGTTCAGGCTGGCTGGCTGTTCATCATTAATCACTGTATATTAATGTAAAATCTTTATCATATCAAGATTTTATTCGTTATGTCCATGTTTTGTTATACGGTTCAAACTTGATACTGTATTTTGTTTCATATATTGTATTCCACTACCTATTAATGCTATATAATCAATTTACTTATTTTATGAATATTAATCAATTAATTGGGTTTTCTTTTTTAACCAATTAATTATGTATTATTTTATGAATATTGACTAATTTTCGCATTATTTTATTTTTAATTTATAATTGTATAACAATCATATAGCAATGTATAAATAATTGATCATAATTCTTTAATATTTATGTCACACATTTAAACTTTATACTTGTGTGAACAGCTTATTTGTTTTGGATTGATAAAACAGCAGATGAAATTTAAAGGGCTCCTATATATGTATTATTTTGTGTTTCAATCAAATTTTATTCATCTTTTTTATAGAAATTTTGATAGAACTTAATTGGGAAAACTTTGATTTCGTTAGAAACCACTCCCTAATTTTCGATATTTTTACTAGTCTTCCCTAAATTCAACAGAAACCTCTTTATAATTATACTTAATTTTGTTGGTTTCTTATCTTATAAAACCTTATAGAAAGTTATAAATGTGTATATGATGAATTTCAAAATTCTTAATTAAACTTTTGGCTGCATTTATTTATTTATTTTTATTAAAGATCATTCAGTGTTTATATAGTGATTAGTAAACCATTTAAATGAAACAGTGTGATATGTATATCAACTTTTAACATTACTAGGTATTAGTGATTATTGATGAACTAAAGATGATGATTTAAATAGATTTAGTAGTGATTATTAATATAAAAAAAATGATAATATTATATTTGAAAGTCTCACTACGTGTCGTTTATTATATAAGGATAAATTGTCAATCGCACATTTGTGTTGAATTAGAGTCTTGACCAATTTATAAGCCTACAATATTGCTTAAGTGATGTTCATTACGTGAAACCCAAAAACAAATTCATGCTAATTAAACCTAAAGTAAAGATGTTTCGAACGAAGAATGTGTGCTTTAAATTCAAATACATACTTACACTAAAGAATGTATATTTCAAACTTGAGCAAAAAACTTGTAAATTAGGTTTAAACTAAAAATGTTTTGAACAAGTTTTGAATGAAAAATGGTATTTAAAATTCACGTACAACTTTGTGTTGACTAAATTCAAAACATACAATTTCTATTAAATCGGTCGTGATTGTAACATTACCGTCTTGTGAGGGCAACGTCACCGAGTATATAAGACATATAAGATAGCGGTTCCCTTCTTTCAATACTTAGAGAAAGTGTTTTGTCAAACATAAGCAATTACCGGGATTGTGGCTTTCCCCGGTACTACCTTCCAGTGCAGACACGTCACCACTATGCTTTAACATGATCCTTCACGAAGATTTTGCTATCGTAGCAGCTCTACTTTGTTGACTGTGACATACTGCTTTACGTTTTCAACTGCCTTCACTTCCTTATTGGACTGTCACAGACCGGGATAGTGGTGGTCCTCTCATAGCAAAGCAAGCCTCTTGAACTGGGAGTCCCACTTTGAGGGCGGTGACACGTGTCGACCACGCGATGACTCTCGCACGTGATATCCACTTGCAAAACACAACACTCTCTCCTGTCTTTCCCACTTCGTTTTGTTCTCTTCCTTTTTAATTTTTAATTATTAATTTTATTATTTTAGTGAAATTAAAAAAATAAATAAAAGAAAATAAAAAGAAAAGTGCTTCTAGTACCCACACTTTCTTTGCACTTGTAATGTTGCTATTAGAAGTGCTTTTGTAGTAACTTTTTTTGGGGAAAATAAATCCAAAATATATATTAATGAAATATTGAGTGGGGATATGTGAATTCCAAATCTACTCATGACACCCATTTTCTTAATAAATAATTATTAAATTTTAAATTTTATTACATAATCTTAGTTAAAGTAAAATTTGACTTTTGTTTTCTAATCCCAATTCTTTAAAATTTAAATAATTCATTCTATAATTTTATATTCTTCAATGTTTACATCTGTTTTAAGATGCTTTTTGCTTGATTCCTTTAAAGTTTAAATTGCTTAAGTTTAATTAATTAGTAAATATGAATTTGAAACATTTTTTGTATTCCAATTAATGTGGTTGTTAATATGATATAAATTTTATTGTTAAATAAGTAATTATATTTTTAATTTCAAAAGTTAAATCTTAGATATCAAGACTAAGTTCATTTTAATGTATTTTTCATTGAATACAAGTTTTAATATGTTATATTGGATCGTTAATAAAATTATAGACATGAACCAATTAATTATCTAATTTCTCAATTATAATTGGAGTGTATAACCTAACCTTACATAAATTACAATTTTTTTTTAAAAAAATTGTATATATATGTAATTTTAATTCTAGATATTTTAACAAACAATATATATATAAACCCCGCTATAATGATATTCTAGTCATAACAAAATTTAGTTATAACTTCAGATAGTTATAAATAAGAATAAACTCATGTAATAATTTATAATTTTTTAATTCTCGTTTTAAAAAAGTTGTCTTATTTGTATATTGCAAAAAAATATATATGTTCTCTTATATTAAAGGTTTAAAATAAAATAAAATATTTATCTAAAGTTGTTTAAGACAATGATTTATGCTTTAGAGTTGTTACCAAATATTTTCACTTGCGGGTATATAATAACTCGTGAGCATTGACACCTTCTTATTAAAATTAAAATATTTCTAACTTCTTAAGTATGTTCGGGCCTTTTTGGCACCAAAATTCTTGTATTTCTGTATTATCATCTTCATGATTATTTTTTTTCTATTTTTGTCTAATTGCAAAAATGACTACTAAAATAATGAATAAAAATCTTAATATATACTACTAAAACATGAATTATAAAATTAGAATATTATGCATTAGTTTGATCTTACTATTATGACTATAAAAAGTTTTATTCTCTCTCTTTATATATATATAGAATATTCTTTTAAGGGTTGTATAAACTTTACCTTAAATAATTTTAAAAAATATCTGAAGCAATTAGTTTGTTCTTATCTGAAGTACAGTTGTTTAAATTGTAAATTAATGGAGTATAATGATATAATCTTTAATCTGAGAAGATAATTATAATTTAAAATCAAATCAAATCACTATTAACCGTTGATAATTTGTCTTGC